GAGGCCACTCCGGGACTGTTGCTTCACTTCGCACCAATGACCCAACCTAGCCGCCTTACTTTCCTCAACCCTATGGGGCCAGGCTAATGCACACGTACTCTCTCTATGAGCTCAGGAGTGATATTTACGACAAGGATAGGACCGCCGCTGCCTTCCCGTCCCGACACCGCCCAGCGGCGCCTCGTCACAGCGCCACGCTCCTCTCCCGCCACAGCACCAACAACCGGCCTTGACCCCGTCGGGCATGCTCATACTAGCTCTCATGCTCCCGGCCCAGCCAACCTCAAGGTCGACTGCGATGATGGCTCGCAGCATCGTGTATCGCGATAGCGAGAAGGAAGTCGGACGCGATCGTGAGATGGATAGGGCAGGTTCAGAGCGGTGAGGAACGGCGAGTTGAGCGCGCTGGTGGCTCATGGCTGCTGCATGAAGTGCAAAGCTTACATAAGCTCCGACAGATGTGCGTACTCCCTGGCCTTCTGAATCTGTACTTTGTGCTCACAGTCTTCCTTCGCAGATCAGAGTGACCGCTACTTCATGACATTCCCGATCTGGTTCTTGTCCTTCCTTCTCCCTCATGTGTACCACAATATCGACGCCCGCGTACATACACACAATAATACAATGCACCGATTTTGAAGCTCTACAAGCCGAGACGCGCATAATGTGAATAAAACCCGAACGCTCCAACTGTCCCTGCGAACTATCGAAACTTGAGGCGGGCCTTCATAGCACAGATATACGCTCGGACTGCAACCCATGGCTACACCTGAGACCTCGCAGGCTCAGAAGCCACAATTGTACTGGTCAGGCGCCAGATGACTGAGGACCACCAAGCCGATCATACGACGGCCGCAGCATCGCCGAGGCTTGCTTCGTGCGAGCCGCCGGGCGGCTGTGCTGGGCGCTCTGCGTCTGAGTTACGATCCGACAAGTTACTATCCGACACGGCGCATCAGTCTACACTCGGCGTATTCAGTGATGAAACGCTGCGTACGTCTCCTGGGCAAGGTGCGCTTCCTCTTTCCCGGCCTTCTCCGACGCATTGTTCACTACGCTGATCCTCGCACCTCCGCTCTCTACGATCTGACCTTGCGCGCAGGCGTCGCCGTCTATGTAGCTTGGGTTTGACCTAGCTCGCCATCGTCAGTCATATGTCTGTGTGAATGTACGGGCTGCGTACTCGAGATCCAGCGACATCGAGTTCTGAGCAGGACGCTCTCCGAACACGATATCTCCCACCGACGAACGCGACCTGCGCGTGCGAGGTGTGGGTTTCCAGCCGAACCAGCCGCCGACAGTGCATATAATGCGCCAGTACGAGACGCGGGCTTCCTGTGTAGCGCCGAAGAGGCCGAAGATGACGAATGCGAGAAATGGTGATATCCAATTGAAGAAGTAGAAGGTTGCTACACTGAAAGGCCCGTTAGACACTATCTCCGTATAGGTAATGCTCTGCGGCTGCCAGCGCGTGTGGTCGAAGGTCCAGCCATAGTAGAATGGGAGGGAACCGAAAAACACCTCGTCTTTCACGAACAGGACAATATTCGCAATGCCCACAGGCAACATGAGCAGGATATCAATGCTTGCAAGGGCAAGAATGCGGAGGTAGTTAGGGCGAGTCACCGAATCGTTGCTCTGTAAGAAGTGATTGATCTCCCGGTGATGGCGATAGAACATTTGGGCCACACGAGCTGGAGTAGAAGTGAGCATGATGAAATCAAGACACGGTCTTACACTAGGATAGATATGACGCACGATAGTACACAGTGACGGATACCAGCGGAAGCAAGACATTCCATGATTGTATAAACAAAATGCTGAGTATTGAATCTTCAACCTCGTTACTGCAGCCAAAACCCTCTACGATCTTGAACCGAGCCACCTGAACTACGTAGTCTTCGTGCGAGCTGAGCGCATGTGGTGAATTCAAAGCCATATACGTGACTCACAAAGTGGTCCTGCAACCAGAATAGGGATTCCCATCCCGAGGGTCCACTCTATCGCGAGGTTTCTGCGTCTCTGATACCGAGTTCAAACTTGGGGGAGTTAGGCATACACTGTGACCCACTACCGCTTTCGTAAGTGGTTCGATGGAACGTAGGTTGACGATCAAACATAGTCGGCGAGTAATGATGAGAGTGGCCACAGGTTTGACTACCGAAGTGATGACTTGCACGTGCGATACTGCTCGATGCGATGTCAGACGGTGTCTGAGCGGATAGGCAGCCCAACTAGACATGTACTGACCGATGTCGCAATACACATATAGCTTGATGTCGGCATTGTCGAACCATATGATAGTGCCAATGCCATTAATAAGGTTCTCGAAGAAGAGCCAGAAGCAAAGAAAGGCAACACCGAGGTTCCAGCTTCGGCGGACAAAGCTGGTCAGCAGTACGAGGAGCAGCATCATCGAAGCCAGGGAGCAAGCAATAGGGTAGAGGGGGTACGTTGGATCCACGGCTGCCATGACGCTTGAACTTAGACCCGGAGACGTTGACGACTCAATCTGTGAGTCAGATGCCTGTCATTTATACCCGACACGCATGATGTGATACCCAGACCCATCGCATATGTTGTCCGCAAATGAGCATTCGCATCGCTTCGTGGCGGCAACGCTTGAGAAGATGTGTACAGAAAGAGGCTCGCGCAAGGAAGTCGTCACTCGTTTCGCTGTCGAGAAGCACCGGTGATAATCGATAAACGTGGCACAATCCTATTGATGCATGCGTAGCGCTCGACGAGGATATACAGCGCAGTTGCCCTGAAAAGTCGCACGAATGACAGGTAGTTGAGCGACGAAGATCTGGGCGGAAGGATTGCCAGACTTACTCTAATGAGCAGGTATTGCAGCTTAAGGAATGGATATAGTAGTGCACCTTGAATACCAGGACACCGATTTCGCACCACCCCCGGATCTTGATAGAATCGGCTGAGCAGATGGCGTCAATACGAATCGTCGAGCCTAAGGGAGTAAGATGCGTACTAGCTTGATATCCGCGTATGCGGAACGATGTGCTACTATTTCGGAGGCAGTTTCCGCCCGGGATGTACTTTCCGCCCCCTTGCAGTCTAACTTATGTTGAACGGCGAGTTCGCGTCCTACCGCTGTGAAACTCCTTGACCCAAGAATATTCCTCAGCAGCCAGACGCATAATAAAGACGTCTCCAGCACTCCGGTAGTATCCCGATGGTGGCGCCTCGTACAGTGTCGTAGACGATGGCGGCGGGCTTGAGCAAACCGTGCGAGTGTGACGGAGAACACTGATCGCTGGCCGGCCCGATCCGATGTACAAGTATAGCTTAGGGCTTAGAGATATTTGTGCTCCTCATCTCCAGGAGATGTTACTGGTGAGACCCTTGTATAATATTTTCTGTGCGGACGTACAGCTCACAAAACGGCAGGGGCGGAAACCACTCCCACGCGGGGAGGAATCCACCCCCGAGATAGTGCGAAGAAGCGAGAGAACGAACGGAAAGCGCCCGCACAGGGTAAGGGCTGAGCCTTGCCTAGATGTTGTATTTATCGTTCGGATCAGCTCGAAGCGACGCACGAAAGCCAAGACTGGGTCGACCCGAGCGCTCGGGTCGACCCGTGGACAAGAGGGCAGCAAGACGGGACGGCATGGCAATATCTCGAGGACTTATGCTTCGTGCGGTGCGGTGCTTGCAGAATTGAGAGACTGTTATCATTGCTGCAAGTCCTGGTGGTGGTGCGGACCAAGAGAAGGTTGACCCCGCGGGTATGAAAGCGGCGGCCCGCTGCCGCCGTGAAGCGCTGACGCGCGAACTGCCTTGAACTTCACCGTGATGACCCAACCTAGCAGAGCCTAGCTGTCTCGCTTTCCTCAATTCTATGCACAGTTACTTGCTCTTATGATGCGGAAAGGATGTATGTATACACAGAGGACAGGATAATTGACGCCCTCCGTACCCTCTGCTTCGTCACAGCGCCTCGGGCCCTTCCCCCGCCACAGTGCCATCGGTCAGCTTAACCCTGACATGTTCCTACTGGTCCTCACACGTCCGACCCAGCCGACCTTTCGTTGACTACGGCGATGGCACATAGTTCTGTGTATTAGGATAGCGAGAAAGAAGTCGGACGCGATCTTGAGATGAATAGGACAGGTTCAGAGCGGCAAGGGTCGTCGAGCGGAGCGCGCTGATGCCTCGTGGCCGCTGCATGAAGTACAACGCTTGCATGAACTCCGACAGATGTGCGTACTCCTTGACCTTTTGAATCTGTACGTTGTGCTCACAGTCTTCGCTCACAGATCAGAGTGACCGCTACTTCCGATATATTCCCAATCTGATATTCGTCTTTCCTTCCCCGTGTATACCACGATGCCAAATGTTCGCGTACATATACACAATCAATGCGATAAACCAATTCTGAAGCTCTACAAGCCGAGACACGCATACACGGCAAACCAACGTGAATAAACCCCGAACGCGCGAACCATGCAGGTGAAGCATCGAAACCTAACTTGAGGCGCGCGTTTATAGCAAGAAGATACGCTCGGACTGCATCCCAAGAATGCACCTGAGACCTCGCGAATCCAGAAGCCACAACCACACTGGACAGGCGTCACTGAGCACCACGAAGCCGATCATACGACGGCCGCGGCATCGCCCAAACTTGCTTCGTACGAGCCGCCCGGAGGCTGTGTCGGGCGCTCTGCGTATGGGTGCCTACTCGACACGGCGCATCAGTCTACACTCGGCGTATTCAGTACCGAGACGCTGCGTACGTCGCCTGGGGAAGGTGCGCTTCCTCATTCCCGTCACCCTGCTCCGACTCGTTCTCCGCGCCGACTCTTGCACCTCCGCTACCTACAACCTGATCTTGCTCTTGTGCGCGAGCGTTGCGGTCGATGTAGCTTGGGTTCGACCTAGAACATGCTCGTCAGCCTAGAACTTGTGAATGCACATATGAGCGTACTCAAGACCAAGCGACATAGAGTTCTGGGCAGGACGGTTGCCGACTTCGATGTCTCCCAGTGGCGAATGTGCCCTGTGCGCGCGAAGTGTGGGTTGCCAGCCGAACCAGCCGCCGACGGTGCATATGATGCGCCAGTACGATGCGCGGGCTTCCGATGTAAGTCCGAAGAGTCCGAAGATGACAAGTGCAAGGACGGACGATGTCCATTGAACGAAGTAGATTTGTGCTACGCTGAAAGGCCCTTCGGACACTATTGATGCGTAGGAGAAGCTCTCCGGCTGCCAGCC